TGTCGTAATGATACCATATGATTCCTGCTATACACATAGATTAAAATTAATTGTTCTCAAATAGTTATTTATGACATGACTATTGTTAGATATCTTATTACTAGGGGGCAGATTTCAATGATGTCATTTTTCTCTTTTCATTGTAGAACAATGTCATTCAGTACATAAATTAATTTTGTATGACAAAAGGAAATTATCTATTTTTATCCGTCTTTTTTCCTGATGTTTTTGCATTTTCCGAGGATTTTGACTAATTAGTAATTTTTTAGCTTTGCCGTATTTTTAATGGAGTTTCAACTCATTGATTTTAATAACATTTTAATGGTACTTGATTCAAATAGTATTTACGAGATACATTAAGTGTTCACTACAGATTCCTGAGTAGCCAATTTGATTTCATCATTCAGACATTGTAATGTCAGCCATTGTATGTAATTTGAGGTTCTCGTAACCCCTTATCAGCGCCATTGTGGTTTCGGTCAATTTCGGGATTATTAAAGAGAGATATTTCCTGGTAAAAAAACTGTACAAAGCAAACGTTTGCGAGACTACTTCACTGAAACGAATGGAAGATTACCATGATTACATCAGTATCAAACCCAACAGCTTGAGATGTTTATTAGATCTGGTTTTGATCACATTTGTTATGTCAGTTTACTTTGCTTTCAGGTCATTTTAAAACACTTAAGAGCGATTTATTGATCACTTTTTGCGAATATTTACGTCATCAAAACCAGCTTCTTCTTATAACAATACGAAATTGGAAAATTATCAAACGACACTTTAAAGCCTCAAATGATAACCCATCAGTATTGTAATATAATGTTACCATTTGAATATCGTCGAACGTTATTAGTCAAAATTAAAGTGAACTATAATTCTTCGTTGAATTCGACATATCGTCTTTCAAAAGATAATATATGATAGTTCTTATGTTGATAGTAGGTATACGATGGTTTTGTTCTAATATTACTTGCATTACATAAATGATAATGTTTGGTGTTAATGAATCATGGATGGTAATAACGTTTATTAAGACACTGATCTCAGTTCCGTAAACTTTGACTTTATTCAATCAAAGTGAATGTTCTCAATTCACCAATTTAAATAAAGTTTCTTTTATTATACATACTATTTAGACAGTTTGTTAAGTATAAAACCAGTGCAGCTTCAACACCATGTACTTTCACACCCTATAGGTAAGGGCTACGCAATATACAATACATTCAAAGTTAAATTAGGCACGAGACACTGTTAGGTTATGTTTGCTTCTTTCAAATTTCAGGTCGCTGACTTTCAAGTAAATTATAGATTTATTGGAAGATGTGGAGGAAGATGCTACAGAGGTATTTATGGAACCCCCAGAGGTGCGAGAGGAATCAGATGAAGATTCTGGAGATGAATTATCAGGTTTTCTGGACAATTTGAGTAGTAAGCAATTGCAAGCAGCTCCTAAAGCGGTTCTGGCAAATGGAGTAGTTATTGAAGATATTGTGGTTGTTGACGGTGAAGATGGTAAACTATGCACTTCAAATAATTGGAAATAATTAGAAGGCAGAAACAAAAAATTTTCGCGGAAAGAAAACTTTTCCTGCTTTACGTAAATGGTCGCTCGAGGATTTCCCTGAAAAGAAAAGAATAATTTGTTACCTGAGCCTACTTTTAGTGGTATAGGTACATAGTTTATAGGTATCTTACATGCACTGAAACTTTTGAACTTTTTTGACTCCGAAATGTTCCATTATTTGGTGCAACAGTCAAAAAAATATGCTCTTTGGAAGAACCTACCTTCACCAGGCATTACAGATGAAGAAATGGAGTGTTTTATTTGCAATTTTTATTTTGTCTGGGTATGTTCAATTGGTAAAATATATTTTTGGGATTCTTCAAGTGATATGAGAAATATTTTAGTAAATAATGCCATGAGACGAGACAGACTTGTTGAAATAATGCGTTTTCTTCACTGTACCGACAAGAGCGGTTTGAATGAAGATGACAAAATGTCAAAACGTAGACCATTCATGGATATGGCATAAGAACGGTTTATTAGGTCTTTCATTCCTCACCGCGAAATATGCTATTATGAGAGTATGATTGAGTATTTTGACAGGTATGGTTGTCAGAAGTGCATCCGGGGAAAGACTATTCACTTTGGTTACAAGGCTTGGTGTCTAAACACCAAGGTAGGGTACTTAGGGTGTGTTTCACCACGTCCGCTTATGATTGTTAAACGAGGCTTTAGCAGAAATAAGCGAGCTTAGATCAAAATAGCATTTCACCATGATTCGTAAGCGTCGTTTAGCATTAAGCTACGCTTTGTACATAAGCGCTCGTCGGATGTTCGCTTAAGGGACTGAAGACGGCTTAAGGAGATCAAAGAAACATGGTGGAGATGTTATGTGCAATTGCATTCGGTTACGACAAGCACGTTTTTTAATATATAATTTATCGACCTAGGCAAACTAGATGGATCCGAGAGAGGGCAAACGTCTTCGAAGACTCCGATGCAATTGATTTTCGGACTCGCATTCGCCTTTCGAAGAGATCGATGTTATTGGTGCTCGAGCAGATCGAAGAAAAACTAGAATTTACATCTGACAGAAATGTAGTGTAGCCTAGTTATAATTACATAGCGGAGAACTAAAAGATTACACCTTTAATAAACAGTTTTTCTCCCCGTATATCTTGCAATAGTAAAAAGATAACATTTGTAACGTAGGTCAAGGTCATGATAAGCTTTTATCAGTATAGTATTTCAATTTTAAATACAGTACGAATTTGAACACACCGAAATTCTTGTTATAATTGTGTTAATTTGATGTTTAGTAGTTACTTACATTCAAAATTGCATTTTGTATATGCATGTTATTTATGAATACAATATATCCGTAACCATTGCGAAAAAATTAGACTTTGCACAGAACATTGTGAGGCTATTTTATTTCATTTGCTGATGTTTCAATTCATTATTCAACTTTGAAGACTAATTGTACAATCACCTATTTTGTAATGTAATATGATTGTTCTTTTGATAAATAATAAATCTATGACATTCCTTTCAAGAAGACAGTGTTATTGTTTGTACCGTGTAATACAAAATTAATAACGATGGTAAAATAATTTGAAAAAATTATCAAACAATGAACAAAAATTTAAAAAAATACACACTATCAGCAAACTGTGAGGACTGAACCAAATGATGGTGGTCCACGAAAAAGCATAAACGGCTTCAAAGCATGGAGACAACTGTGTCAAAGAACGTGCAGAACGTTGATGTGTTTACTTTCTAGCGTTGCCAACACTAGCGGAAGACACACGAAACCCGCTTAGCTAAGCCGCGCCACTAGTTCGCCTCGAGGGGACTGGTGAAACGCGTTTGCCGTAAGCTCACTTAAATTTAGAACTTAAATTTTGAGCCAGCTTAACAAAACAGCGCTTAACGAAATATTGGTGAAACCGGTCCTAAACTTTGAAATATACCAAGGTCGAAATCCAAATGCGAATGAGCAGAATGAAGCAACAGAGCAAAGTGGTTGCCCGAATTGCAAATGCTTGACAGATTTCCAAATTCCATGAAACTACTGCCTTTCATACTATACTTTGACAATTTATTTACGGGAATGAGTCTCTTATGTTATCTGAAAAGTCTAGGGTATGAAAAGACAGTCACAATACGTCAGAACAGCGTGTCAAAAGATTGCCCTACTTTAAAGTCAGAGGAGATGAAAAAGATGCCCAGAGGAACTTTTGAGGCTGCATTCAGTGTAGACGAAAAAATTAACCTTGCTCGATGGATGGATAACAACACTGTCACTGTCACGACCACCACACACAGTGTAAATCCAGTGACACCTGTTAAACGTTATTGCAGATCAAAAAGGAAAATTATAAAAGTAGATCTTTCAAATAACATTGCAGAATACAACTTCATGGGTGGTACGGATCAAATCGACGGTAATGTTGGAACCTCCCAGAATAAGAATAAGAGGAGAGAACTGGTGGTGGCCCATCTTTACTAGACGTGGTGTGGTCTGGTTAGTGGACGTACGTGTTCTGGATAATAATGGAAACAAGGGGTCCGGCATTTTCCAATTAGATTTCAGAAGAGAAATAATTCAAATATACTTGACTCGTTATAACCCCCCCCCAAAGGGGCAGGACGTCCTTCTACATTGAAGACAGGTGGAAGAGTACTTTCAGGAGTTCGCTATGATGGTGTTGATCACTATGTTGAATCAGTCCCCAACGGAAAAAGAAAGCGTTGTGCTGGGGACAATTTTGCTTCAGTTGGAAGAACACAATGCCAAAAATGACAAGTTGGTCTCTTTATATCTTGTTTTGCAAATTACCACTCTTAGAGCAAATCCCTTTCATTTTTGTTTACTGTATACTATTTATTATTTTCACTGTTTTCATGTATTGTTATATTTCTAGTGTTCGTTACGTGTATTTCGACTTATATTTCATTTTTAAATGACCGAAAATTCAAAAATTTTCCTCTTTCAAAGTTTAGCGTTTTAATTCGTGTAAATATTTGGTGTGACCATATGGTCACACGCTGTATTTCAAAAACTTCTTCAAGGAAATAATTAAAACCACATTTTGTGTTCTAAATAAAGTATCTTAATAAAACGCAATGATTCCTTTGATTTTTCAACTTTCCTTCGATTTTTTTACAAACAAATAATTCAGGTCATAATGGGTTTATAGCCTGTTGTATTAATTATTCGCTCTAGTTCTTCTACTTAAAAATAATGTTCATTCCACATCAACATTCCTAGCGTAATCCACTGTCAATAGAAGGATAAACGCCCGATGCTTGTGCAATGTCGAATAAGGAATCAAGAAATATTAGTCAAAAGCGGTCGTTTCTAGAACGACTGACCTTCAATACACACTATGGAAATAAGTGTTGATTGGCCACGAGGTTTAGCGTGTTTTGCACGTGCCCGCACAATTCCTCGTGGGAGGAAGACAAAGAAGCAGTACTTACGCAATACTACGGAAGGCAAAGCAAGGCAGGGGCGTAGGCGTCAAGAGGTCAGCATGGTGGCGGCGCGGTGCGGCGCGGCGTGCGCGGGCGAAGCCGAGAGCGTGCGACGGGCAGGCGTCGTCGCGCAGCGGAGTGAAGCAGCGCGAGGCTGCCGGAGGCGTGAGGCGACTGCGGGCGCCCCGGTGCAACGGCGTGAGGCGGCGTAGGGCGGCGTGGGGCGTCGGGGAGGCGTGGGGCGGCAGCGGACGTCGTGGATGTGGGCGCGGACACGGCGTGGCGGGCAACGCGACGCCGCCACCGCCGCCTCCGCCGAGGCCGCCCGCCCCGACGCCAGCGCCGCAGCGGCAGCGGCGGCGGCCGCCAAAGGCTGGCGGATAACCCGCCCTGACCTAACGCGCCGTGGCTCTGACGCCACCCGCTGGGCACGAGAGAGGCTGCCGGAGGCTCCCAACCGGCGAGGCGCGGGCGATGGGCAGCGGACACTGGATTTACTGATAGATTATTTCGTGTTTCCGGATGCGTCAACTACTATGGTTATTCTCGTAAGTGTGCATTTTTAACGCAGTTGGTAGTTCTGCCTACGATAGATAGATTGATTGATTAGTGATACCCGCCGCGTCAACTGCTAAGGTCAACAGTCACATAGGTGTAGTGCATGTTTCTTGCTCGAGAGGTGGCGGTGATCTTCCCCCGTTGGACAGTGAGAACCGGCACCGAACTACCTGTCGGCTAGCGTGATTTTCCCTAACAAGATATCTCCCTGCAGCGACATCAGATGCTCTGAGCCACTTCTCCCGGTTTTCCCCCGATCAATATATATCGGTTCAGGGGATTTATACTTCGAGGTATCTCCGAACAACGGGGCCCCATTGCAGCCGACGTGTGTGGTAATGTAGTGCGTATCAATGTACGTAAGTGTGCCGTAGGACAAAGAAGGGAGAGGAAATGTCGCGCGCGGCCCGAGGCCCGCTTGTTAGGTAGTTCTCAACCATTAGCCTGGTTTTGGATGGAGTTTTCCAGAAAACTACCGAACAGAGCTAGCCCCTTGAATTCGCCAGATAGACGCTGAATTCGACCTAGCTAGTGTCCACGATCACGGCTCCATCGGGGCCTAGGAGCACCCGGTCAGAGGCACTGCAGGGACACTAGTTGATTCCCTGAGTCACCTCACCCGCTGGAGGACGTTGGAGCCCCTTGCCCGCACGCGGAGGCGTTCGCGAGCAAAGCCGGAGGAGTCATTTATTACTACACTGAGAAAAAGCTACCATCCGTAACTCTCAAACAACGTTCGCATACATGGAATTAACATTTTTGATAAAAAAGGACAATATGAGGTTGAGCTGATGCTTGAATTATGAATTATATTTATTATACATAGTAAGCATCCTCGATGAGAGCGTAGGCTTCCGCGGCCGGAGTCAGTATTTACTTGGCTGTCCGGGTGACCGGGCTGTCCGGGCGGTCCGGGGTCCATGGCGAAGGTGCCGACGTTTCAATTACCAGGAGATGTGACCTTCTTCATTCTAAATCGTTATTTTTAGTTTTAACGATTGTGTTGTTTGTTACTCAGAGACACGGGACACATTTGAACAGGCACAGTAAGTTAACGAAATCGTGGATAGTATGACCATTATGTAGTAGAGGCTTCGTTGTTGAAATAACTTGAGAGACTCTCTCTTATGTTCAGAGATTTTCTGTGTTTCATTAAGGTGACCTGGACATTTACGTATGTAAAACATTCGTAAGAACTCAAGTTTATATGATAAGCGATGACTTCAAACAGTCTACATGTATTCTGAGAGTAGTATCAAAAAGCATTGGCGTGTCAGTATCGAATGGAAAAGAAAGCTTTTTCGCGCAGCATTACATAATTTTCTCTGCGAAAAAATAACAATGATGAGCCTATTTTTAGAGAATTTTGTTATAGCGCTTTTGGATAATTGTCATTAACTCTCGTGGTTTTTGAAACTACTCCAATTTTTTTAAACCAATTTATGCTACTTTTTCAATACATAATTTACCGGATTTGTTATGCAGATTTGTTCTGTTTACTATACGCACGAATAGTATGAAACAGTTGAATATTTGTAATGTTGAAGCATAAAAGCATTCTAATGGAAATAATACTTAGGTATTGTTTTTCTATGATGCATTTTTCCAATTTTGCAATAGCTCAGTGGCATCGTTTCAGATTTCTTTGTAGCGTCACTTAGTGGGAAATCCTGGAGGTTGAGTACCGGTGGTATCGAATGTTATGTATTTTGGTCGAAAAACTTTGTAGCCGTTTTGGAGAAATGTTTCAAAATTCCCTCCAGGGCTTCAACTAAATTATCTCCAAAATTTAAGGAATTATTTTCAAAATAGCAGTGCCTCGATTCGGGCCATGTCGTTGATGGAAAATTCATTTTGACAAAACTTCTAGGAATAGTTTCAGAACTATTGTTGTTCACAGACAGACAGACGGACAGATCTCCAGACGGACGGATGGACGGACTTTCCGAAACAAAACAAAACAAAAAACACTCTCTTGGTAACTGTAGCCACAAAACATGTATTTCCCCTAAAATCTCGAAATCGATTTACTATAGCATTACAAACATGCCTCTCTATATACTACTTTGGGTTCTCCGTCGGTCTGTTTCGAGAGAGTAGAAATAAATAAATATATAACTAAAGAAATACTCTTCCACAAACCACAGAGCAGGTTGAACGCTAATATAGAACATACAAATTACAGAAGCCGAACATGTGCCCGTCAGAGTGCAGTTGTAATGTTATTGCATATATAATATAAACATTAGAAAACCTATGTTACATGATTGATGATTAATCTAAGTGATTGCAGTATTCTGAGTGAATGAATAAGGAGGACGAAAAACTTCTTGTAGACGAAACCTGAAAATATATACTTATCATAGCGTTAAATTCAGCCAGCTATATTTTCTTAATTAAAAGAGAAAATTTTCCAAGTAATTATTTCAAATTCAATAAAATTTCATTGCAATAAACCTGATATGATTTTTATAAACAATTTAATGAGAGAAAACCAGAACGGTATATGTGACTTTTTATAAATTCTGAGATATCTGCTAATTTAAGTCAATATCACTGTTTACGTAGTGGAGCTTTGTTTCATCATTAAAACCACGGTATTTCAATTGTTCATTAAAAGTACAAAAATACATTTCCACTGACATACTGCCTGAAATAATCACATTTTTCTCAGAATTTATGAAAGGTCACTTACACCGTTCTGGTTTACACCCATTTAATTACAAGAAGATCTGCACTTCTTCATCCTAATTAGTCCTATATCGTTTTTTAGTTTTAATGATTGTGTTGATTTTCGCTACACAAAGACACGGGGCACATTAGAAAAAACAATAAGTAACCGAAATTGAGGATATGACTATTCGGTAGTACAGGCTTCATCAACTCAAGTATCCATGATAAGCGATGACGTCAAACAGTCTACATGGATTCTGAGGGTAGTGTCAAAGAGCATTGGCGTGTCAGTGTCGAATGGAAAAGAAAGCTTCTAAGAATTGTTCTCAACATGGAATAATTGAATTTTAATAATATATTTAGATAGCGAACTTGCATCTTCACTGAAATTTACTTAACTACATACGTAAGTATACATACCTTCAATTACTGATGTCCATAAATAAACGTATGTCAACTTTGATGGTATTATTACTTTTTCGCATACTCCATGGTGACTCTATCTGCTTCTAAAGAAAGATTTGGTTAGAAAAAAATTGTGTATGTTATAACAATATATTTACATTTTTGGAACGTGTGAATACTAGGGAGACGAAAGTCTTAATGTCTATATTTATATGTATATAACAATATATGCGAAACTGCTGTTTTCCTCTTCATTTCTTCATTCCTTTTTTTCTGTTTTTCCTGTAGCCTCTTTTTTAAAGAAAATAAAAATATTTTAAAAACTACAGACATTCCGTGTTACCGCTTTCATGTGGTCATATTCTACGTTGTTCGGACTGGAATAAATTCACAAAATTTCATTGTTCCATGATAATCCATTCCATTTCCACATATATTTAATTTGAATTAATTTTCACAATTTTATAACTGAAGAATTGGCTTCTTAAGATGGTTCCCGAGGAAGGAGTGCTATGATTCGTGCTTACAAGTTCCGACTATTTCGCTTTCAAACGCGTGGAGGAAGGAAGCAATTTTCAGGGAGAGGTATTTCTGGAAGCCAATTGCTGCCTCTTTCTTGCTTCCAACTTCAGGATTGGTTGGTGGCCGCTTCGTGTACTGTTTTGAAAATTCATGCGGTATTTGTGAAACAAAGGCAACTTAAAGTATTCAGAATAAGAAGAAAAATTAGAGAGCTGAGAACCACGAATATTTACCCTGCAACAATGTTCATGGCAATATATGCTATCTTTGAGGTCGCAGGTCCACTCCACCCCCCCAGGAACTTCAACGTATGTGGCGGAGAAACGAAACAGTCCGTTTGTAAATCTGCTTGAAGAAAAGACTTGCATAGAAACTGCGTAGGGATTGACTGACAAAAAAGTAGTTGACATGAGATGCTAATTTCTTATAAACAATTACGTATCTCCAAAATGAAAGGGGATAGCGCCTTGCGATAGGGTTGCAGAATTTTGCCTCTCGTTTAAAGGCAATTTAGAAACGGCATTTTTTTGCAGAATTAAAAAGTTAAAATAAATTTACAATTTTTTTAAATTTTCAAGTGGGAAGGGGTCTCTGATGTCCCAGAAAAGAAAACTGCTAATTAACAAATTTTCAACAATTTACAAATTTATAAACAATTACGAAATCTGTGCAATTTCTGTCGGGCAATGTCCTCAAATTGTCTTTAATGTGAATATTGCCAAATTCCTATTTTTACAAGATATGCTAAATTATTGCAAATATCTACTTTATTTGTTGCTAAAATATTATATATGGAGTTGATCTTTGAAATTGTTGTTTTTGTTTTAAATCGTTCTCTAGAAGTCATCTATCGGTTCGAAAAATACAAAATTTAGCAACGTTTCAAATTATGAAAATATATGAACAATTGCAAACTTGCAATTACAATAATCTTATTGATAAATCTATAGCAAACTGAATATTAAGAATATAATATTATACTAATAATAATATTATTAATTAATTAACATATATTAATATAAATATCCTGGATTGCTTATAAAAAATAGTGTTGAAAGTAAACATGCTTGAGAATCTGAGTGTTCTAAAATAAGTGTTATTTCATCTCTTATATATTCACTTTCATGTTCATTAAAGTATTTCATTCCTCTATATTTTTATTTGGAATTATTTCCAAATTGAAACTAGTAACGCCCGCCATTTTTATGATGTA